CGCCCCCTATTTAATGCATAGGGTAGCATTATATATATAGATTATATAGAGAATTAATTTAATATTATATGCATTGTGAAAACCAAGAAATTTGATATTATATAAGTATTATATAATAAATAATTTATATAATAAATAATAAATATATATTATATATATAAATGCGCCCCCTATTTAATGCATAGGGTAGCATTATATATATAGATTATATAGAGAATTAATTTAATAAAAAATTATATGCATTGTGAAAACCAAGAAATTTGAAAATGTATTAATTTAATTTAATTAGGATTCAACTTCCTTAATGAATTTTCTTTATATGGTCCATTGGATATTTATTTGAGATTTTAGAGAGATTTTAATATGCTTATTAGGTATTTATTATGAATTTATTAAAGATTTTAACAATTTTTGTAATATAGTAAGATGTAATTGAATTTGGATTTGAACTATTATATAATTAAAGTTCTTGAATCAATATGAAATTGAAGTTGCCAAATCAATTGAATTAAAGTATAGATAAAAAAAATGACATAATTTCTACTAATTTTTTAGAGATAAGGCAAATAAGTACTTTTATTTTTGAGAGATAAGGTAAATAAGTACTTTTTCATTATTATTATTATTATGAGAAAAGTGAAAATCAAAATGTCCTGACAATAAAATTGTCAAGACATCCAATCACAATTACATAATGAACAAATTTTAAGTGGGGCTTACATTATGTCCCACCCATCATGTGACTGTAATTGAACATTTTAATATTTTTAATATTAATATGTCATTTTTTGCATCCTCTATTATTCTTATTATTATCATTATTATTTTTATTATTTGCTAAATCAATTTGTGGAATCAAATTGAGGTCTTACTAATTAAAATTAAAAATATTTTATAATTGGAGTTTAGGATTCCTTAACCTCCTTAATAAGTTTTTTTAAGAGATCCATCATATATTTATTTGAAAATTTATAAGCATTTTATTAAAGGAAATTATTGAAAATTTTGAAAGGTCCATTAAATATGTATTTTATATTTATTAAAGATTTTAAGATATTCATTGAGTATTTATTTAAGATTTTAGAAAGATTTTAAAAGATTTATTGAAAAATTATTCAAATTTTTTTGAAAATTTTAATAATTTTTATAATATAGTAAAAATAGTAATTTAAAGATTTAAAAAACCTTATTAAATATTTATTTAAGTTTTAATAAATTTTATAATATATATCTCTGTCTACATTAGTGAGTTCTATGGTGGAAGCGGTACCTAGACTGGGCAAACGGGCGGGTTGGGTCGGGTTAAGGTCTGGTCAGAATGGGTAATGGGTCAAAACGGGTTGGGTTAAAACGGGTCACGGGTCAATGAAGGCAGATCCTAACCCACCTATCATGGGTTGCGAGTTGACCCAATTAAAATTTTTTTTTCTCTAATTTGTACCTATTATCATTTAAAGAAAATTATTCAAAAGATTTAAAAAAAAAATTCAACATCTTATAAAAATAATTTTTTTTATTAATTTAATATATACATATTTATAGTTTCTCAGAATCACCTTCTTTATTTCCCTTCAAATAATAGCGCTAATCAAAATCAAGAACACAACACTTATAAATATCAATAGCAAAAAAAAAAAAGAGCGATAGTAGCATGACAACCAAAAAACACAAACCTCATTGGAACATATTTGTTTTGGTCATTGCTTTCAAAGAACAATCAATTGAATGCATCTAAGTAAAGGAAAAAATCAAGTAAAATTTTTACTTGGAATGGAAAGAAAACTAAAAAGTATAAATAAGTAAACCATTTACCTTGAAGTATTTATAGAGAAAAGTTGGTGACAAAAAAAGCACTTGCTGAACTCATAGGAGAAAAAAAGAAAAGGCTGAGTGGATGTAACGGTGACTCGATAAGACTAAGATTTAAGTCTGAAATAATGTTAAAGACTAAAGAGAAAAGGTGGAGTTGAAGCTTAAAAGTCAAAGGCTGTATGAACTATGGAGATTGAAGAATATAAGAAGAGTTTGAAGTTTGAAGAATTAGAGTCTTTGAGAGTATTAAGGTAAGCAAGAATAGAAAAGGTCGAAAGGTGAGTTATGAGTGGAGTGAGATTATTTTTACTTCTAGAAGATGATGAGTCAAGAGAATCAATTAGTTAATTATGGAATATAAGTCAATTATTAGAGGTTTAGGTGGGATTGGAAATTGGAAAACAAAATAAATAAATAATAAATTAAAAAATTTTATATTTTTAAACAGGTAAACGGGTCAAACCCGTTAACCTGATGGGTTAACCCGTTAATCTGATGGGTTAACCCGTTATTGACCCGTAACCTGTTAGGTTCTCTTAACGGGTCATTAAGGAGTCACGGGTCATAAATATATGATCCTAACCCGTTTTAAACGGGCGAATAATGAACCGGTTAACGAATTGGGTAAAAAATTACAAGGTCTAGCAGCACAAATAAAAGGAACCCAACTCCCAAGTCAAAAGAGAGCATGTTACCCGCGAATATTTTCCTGCCAATGGTAAAAAACCACAACTACTTGAAATACGGATAATTGTTCTGACGTCAACCCATCTTGATTCATGCTTTTCTTCTAGAGGGTTTGAATTTTTTGTAATTTGCAGCATGTAAATGCTCAAATTGATCAAAATCACATTGCGGAATTGGTACAGGGTCAAAAAGCGATGTTCCAATCAAGGCTCTCTTCAGCTTTTTGTGTCTTTTTCATCTTTCAGGCTAATATTCCACATTTCCACCCTTTCTTCCCCGACTTTTAGGTTGTATAGCCCTTTTATTCCCATAGGAAAATAAAGCAAAAACAGCGGAATCAGAGATTTTTTTAAAAGATGCGTGTTGAGGCGGTCCAAAATGGTCTCCCTATAAGCTGCCCAATCATACAACAATCTGAACTGAATTCATTCTTAAGGGCAAAATTCCTTTCCATCATGCTTCTTTCCTAGTGCAGTGATAACGTGGTATGTTAACACAGAATACAAAGATGAAATCTGCAAATCATTACCTATTACTGCATAAGAATACTGTGAAACAACAGACGTGGGATCCACAAGCAATTTGCACTACAAATTTAGCATGCAATTGGTACATGAACCACACCAGATACTCATCTAGGATGGAAAATGATAATGGACAGCAAGATAATGTTGGCAACCTAAATGAATGTGACTTGTAGCCCCTATTCTAATCGATAGTCATTATAGGTTATGCAACTTCCCACAGACAGATCTAAATCATAAAAACAGTTGAAAAGGACACTGAACACATGTCCAACCCACACATAACTCAGCAAAGGTCATGCGTACATCAAAGAGCATGTAATCTAATGTTCACAACTTTGTGGATCCCACCACACTTATCCGACTGATTGCACCATTGCAACAAACTAATAGAGTGGAAATAATCATTAACATGAGTTAGAAAATTGGCCTGTCACTGTGAAGTGTGTATTATCAGCTTAACGTGTGGTCTCAGCGTTGCCAGGGAAGAAAATAACAGAAAAGAATCAGCATGTGTCGTAGCTTATTCTTAGGGACCCTATATGGGTATCCCTTTAAATGTTTTCACACTAGTAAATCAACAATAACCTGGAGTACAATATGGCCGAAAAACAATCCCAAAAATTGGGTACAAGAAAATAACAAAACATACCTGACAAAAAACCACAATTTTGCCAGAGCATATAGGAAATTTCATCTAGAAAGGGAAAAAAATAGTAGTCTATATCCTTATGTATCGCCGCCTCACTGAGATGCATGATACATTTTCTGACTATATCCCGCAATCTGATTTTACATCTCACTCAATACTGAAACAAAAAACCTAAACAAGGTAATTCAAAATTCAAGCCTTCAACAGAAAATCCCTTGGAACGTCTATCTCTAAATTTAATTCTTCAAAAACAGGCACTCCAGTTAGCCCTAGGTAAACCAACTTTCTTATAACTCAAACATATCTAACGAGGGAAATGAGTGGAATTCACAGATCACCAGCTTCACAAGATTATCATCACCTACTGCATTTTGAAAACCAAAATAATCCTCTAGGCAGGAATTCCTGCATCAAGTGAGAAAACCATAATGTGTCAGCATCAAGAAACAGATTTACAATTAATGCAGTTAAAGTGATTTTTAAAGAAATTAAAAATGCATTTAGCAACTTCACTGCCAGAAAACAGATGGGTTAGAGTAATTAAATGTGGGACTAAAAACTTCAATTCAATTACTAAAGAACTAAATGACATTGCTAGAACAGTCATTGACATAATTCTCATTTAAGCAAAATAAACTTGTTCATATCATTAAAAGAAACTGAAAAACAAGCAACGTGAAGACAGAAAACCTTCCTCACAAATTTTTAGCAGGAAACAGAATGAATGAGTTCTCTAATACCACTCTCATAGAAACTTAAACAACAAAAATGAATTCGAATTCTAGTACAATTTTGAAATTGCCAATCAAGATTACTGAAAACACCATTTAGATGAATCAAAACCCTCTTGATATAACTGTTCCTTTCTTAGAAAAGGAAGTTAGAGAACGAAAAGATGCATCTTTCCTCCTTATTTTAACCAAACCAAATGATGCTTGTGTTTGGTTTTTGCTCCTTTTTCCTAGGTGGATTGATGATTAAATTTAGTAGCAGGAACAATTTTTCTCAATCTAACAAATGAATCAAGACCACTTAATGTTGGATGTCCTAACATTACTTCTACATGTCTTAAGTTTACAAATTCCACTGGAAGAGATAAGATTAAAACAAAATCAACCCTGAATGTGCTATGGATGGAACTAAATATGTCATGAAGATTCCTTAGAGTCTTTGTGTATGTACTTGCATGGATTTGCATGCAAGATTGCCTCTGTACAAATTCTTATTAAAAACAGTCAATCATCTCTACAATGTTAAACAATAATACAATCTATTCTAAAATCCTTTGATACAAAAGGATATGAATTCAGTGAATCTTTTACTACCAGGTTATGAAATATGAATTCAACAAAATGATATGGATATGAGTGCTACTGTGAGAGAGCCTCCTAAGGTAATTAGGATGAAAGAGAGCCTCCTAAGGTAATTAGGATGAATTACA